GCACTGTATAGAGTCCTGGAAAAGTATTTAAAAGGTTATTCGAAAGATATCTGCCGCGAACGCTCAAAGTGATCATGTAATTGGCACAGCAATCGCTTGAAGAACGAAAAATTCTGTATCTCGGAAAAGAAACACAGTTGAAGCCTGAAACTTTCAGCATAAATACTAGACCAGGTCACCTGTTTTCGATGAAAGTTTCAAGCGGATATTGAAAAAATCTGACTGAGTTATGAATTTTTCAATGTAGTGCGTTTTTCGCTGGGAAAAACCGAAAAACGGGTGTAACTTTGGTGTAACTAAAATACGAATAAAAATGGGTGTTTGGTTTCTTTTCCGTTCGTTCAGTATATCTATATCTATACAATATGTATGTATATCGCATGTAACGGTTTTTTCGAAAATTATTTTGTTTTAAGTAGCTGGAAGAGACGTTCATTTTTACAAAATCATAGTGTAAATTAGATTTTGAGTATCTTTTGTGTCTGTAGATCTATTTAGCGTTACTTCAGTGTTTATTTTCCCGAAGAGAGAGAATATTGGTTTCTTAATGGATATTTGCCATGCCATCTATTTCTCAAAATCTATTCAGATTCGCACGCATCTCAGAAAACAAGTCAGAATGAACAATTCATTAGCATCATCTGTTGATATATTATCCATCATATCTACTCAACTTTTCTGCTACATTTTACCATTCATTATTGTAATCGGTACAATCGGTAGTTCGTTCAACGTGATCATCTTCACTCGTCCATGTTTTCGAATATCGTCGTGTTCCATGTATTTCCTTGCCTCATCTGTGGTCAACATTATTATCTATTATGGCTTCATGTGTCGAACTTGGTTGATGAATACTAACTTTATCATCAATATGGCGAACACAAGTTTAGTTGTTTGCAGAGTGTTGAATTATTTTAGTTATGTTTTCTTCAATTTGTCTCCGTTGTTTATTGTGATGGCTTCGATCGATCGCTTCTGCTCGTCTTCTCCCTCCATCGTCTATCGTCAATGGAGCAAACTATCCGTATCTTATCGTATTATACCACTTACCATCTTTCTTACTTCTGTCGTTTATTTGCAAATACTACGATTCTATCAGATTGAAGGGAATGTATGTCAACCACAACCAGGTTTATATAGCGAATTTATGGGATATTTCTCGTTAGTTTTCTATGCTGTATTTCCACCGTCATTTATGGCATTGTTCGGACTATTAACTTTGATAAACATTAAAAATCAGCGACGACGAATACTACCGGCGAGCACAACTCGTAATAAGAGACAAGCAAATAGTGAACTATTTCGGATCCTCTTTTCGCAAGTCTTGTCCTACATCATTCTCGTGATACCCTTCAATATGATGTTTGCTGTCAACGCTAGTAGTCATCCGACATCAAAAGAATTCAAGTTTGTTTTTCAGATGAGACAGTTACTATTTTACTTCAGTTACTCAACGTCATTTTATGTGAACACACTCGCTGCGCGACTCTATCGTAGAGAATTTATCCGCTTCTTTCGTATTGCACATTTACAAGAATCCCGACCAGTGGCGATTGTAAATTTGGCAAAATAATAGTTTTAGCTAGACCACAACACACTGAAAAGAGTGTTATTTTCAGGACAGACATAAGTAGTACTGTTCAGAACGAAAAGTACAGCATTTTTCTCTCAAATAAGATAAATAGATTTCGATTTCAGCGATCAGTTATGATCGGATTGAATTTAAGAAAAAGCCATAAATTCTGCTTGTGTCTATTAATAAACCACAAGTATGTCGCTTTCAGACATGGGTGAGTGCGGGGAGGGGATGTAAGTGCTGTACATATTCAAACGCTGTACAACTTCGCTCAATGTAATCTCACTTAAGTTTATGTTAGAGTTTTTAATATTTTATTACTCAATAATTTGATTAAAAGAAAACTAAATGAAAAGGTATGTCTGAACTAGATCACAAAAAATGTATATACTGATCGAAAATAAAAGTTGGTTACAAGTTAATTTTTTTGTAACTAAAGAACAATTATCAATAATGAAAATTAAAGTATAACAATTATTGTTTTCGTACCGGAAGACAGTAACGGTTAATAATTTCGATTCGAATCTTTTCTCTAAATAATTTGTGCGCTTAAAGTACGAAAGTTGAAATATAGGAAGGATGAGAGTGATGGATGTTCTCTATACATGGAGTACAGCCATTCGGAGTATAGCAACAACTACACTCTCATTTACATGGAATGCGCACACATAAAGGTTCGGGACTGTATTACAAGTTGTTTCTAGTATTCATATAGTTACAAGCTCATTGATCCTTACAGATGGATTAAGATTTCCATGTATTTTCCGCAGTTTTCATGTAATGAGGCCTCCGTGACTGTTACATCTCCTCCCTACCTGGAGAGAGAAGGTTCGACCTCGAATCAAACTAGTTCCCAAAAACTGCGAACGTTCACACTATAGAAAAGGTTTTGTTCGCGTTACATAAAGCTAGAAATTATCAACTAGGAGACATAAAACTAGCTATACAATTGACAATATTTGATGTTTTTATTTTGGTTTTGAAAAAGAGAGACGAATAAAGGAAAAAGAAAGCATGTGATCAATATCGATAAAAGAGTAAAATGGATGAACGGCGCGAAGTGTTGATAAGTGACACATTCATATAAGGTTTTTCTGCTGTCACTTCTCACATAAAATTGAACACACTCTTTACCTCTTCTTATCAAAATATAATTCGTTTCATCTATTCCGCTAACTTTTAATCTATCGGGTATAATGAACGCACAAGAAATGACGGTACAAAAAGAATTATTAGCTCAACGAATTAACAGTGCGGGATCCGCCGGTCGTCGTTTAATTGTTTTGTGTCGTGACCAACGTATTGCTGCATATCTAGCAATTCGTTATTCAGGACTGAATAATCGATTCGGTCTTGGATTATTCAGTGACAACAGAGTTATTGTTGTCGCCACTGATTATTTATTGACACAACTAATCGACGACAACGACGAAAGTTTTGTGTTCTATTAAATGTGGTTGATGTTATTATTTTTGAAAATCTGTCGTTCGAAAACTTTCTCAAAACGAACGCAATTTTTTTCTTGTTGTTTTATTTTTTTTGTGTTTTACTTCTTAATCTCGACTTATAAAGAAAGAATTTGAAATGGAGAGTAATATGATTTTAAGCGCTCAACATGTACTACTTCCACCCAGGGACCTGAGTAGGTACCGGACATTGGGGGGGGTGTAACGAAAGTTTTTTGTTCGAGATAGTGTAAACTTTATTTTAAATTTCACGTTCGAGGTGGTGTAAACTCTGTTTTTTGCATAGTTACTCAGTAATTACCTTGTTACTGTTCTTTTAAATTTTTGGGGGGGTACGCATGGCAGGAGGCAGGAGATTCTCCAGTGCTATCATTTATCGCCGTCCTTAGAGCGAAAGTCAATTGAGGAAGTTGTACATCCCAGGCACGTCGATCACTTTGAGCGTAAGCTCTTATCATGGCTTAGAGTGTATTATTCACTCGCTCTGATAGATTTGTTCGCGGGCGATATAAGGCAGTTCGGCGATGATTTATTTGGAGAATGCGAAGAGTCCATCTGTAACAAGTATTACTTCTCGCGTTCGATCAGTCAAAACCACTACTTCTAAAGTTAGCCATCGAAGTGAAAGAAATGAAACCACCGGGATGATCGAAGTAATCAAAGAAATGAATAAAACACAGAGAGAAATGAATCGCGATAATCCGGCGATGATGTTGAAGGTTGTACAGACTCAGCAGCAGTCTACTTCTCAACCTCAACTAACTGCAGTGCGAGTGCTAACATCCGTTCCAACAGAAGTTCCTTTACCTGCCAGTTATCAGAATTCTAATGATTCTTTGCCTGCACCGTACACACATTCTTCTCATTCCGATATTTTTCGACATTCCAAATCCTTACCACCGGATGAAGGAAATCCGCAGAAAAACAGAGGAGTTTTAGAAGAATGCCCATCGTGTCATCGCTCTAAAGAACATTTACATCTTTCTATTACAAAAAGTGATTCTAAACTGCGATTTTACCCCTTAATACATCTGCTAAAATCTCTGTCCAAGAAAAAAACTTGTTTCAGAACGAAAGACTAGAAAGAAAGTTAAGTCGCAGAAACTGGTCCTTTACCTAAAACTCCGCGCGGGAATGCCTACATCCTAGCAGTAGTCGATTATTTCACGAAATGGGTCGAATTTTTCCCTCTGGCCACCATTAAATCGAGAAATAGAGCTCAACTACTGCATGACGAAGTCATTTGCCGTCATGGCATTCCCGTTAAAATTGTTTCCGATAATGGTGCACAATTTGTTGTCGATGTTTTTCGAGAAACTTTAAAGACCATGAGTATCCGGCATCGAACGACCGCTCTTTATCATCCTCAATCAAATTTATTTGAGCGTGTCAATCGGACATTAAAGCCCATGTTGGCTATTTTTGCCGAACATGATGAAGAATCCTGGGATATACAGTTGCCGCTGCTAGCACTGGCTATCAGAGCGGCCATAAATGAATTCACGGATCACAGTCCAGCGTTTTTAATGTATGGTTGAGAACTGAAACTACCACTCGATCTCATCTACGATCCCGAAACGGATGTCCTTGATGAGTTAAAATCATCTGAGGAAGTCCGAGCCTACACTGAACGACTTAAAGCTATTCTTGTCTCTGCACATCAGTCGAACAGAGAAAATTTGGAAATTGCTCAACAAGGACAAAAGTTTCTTTATGATCGACACCGTAAAGATGCAATTTAAAGAAGGTGACCTTGTTTTGATGGCTGACACCCCAGGATCAGCCTTAGGCAAATGGGCCCTTCCTAAATTGGCTCCTAAATGGATCGGTCCTTTTCGAATTTCACGCAAGATTGGTCATCTAGACTATGAACTAGTTTCTTTGAAGGATGGTGCGGTTCTTTCGTCTATTCACGTCGAAAGTCTGAAACCATATCATCGTTCATCGTCAATTCTAGTCCCAGATGCATAAGGGAACTAATTTAGCATCTCGCTGTACACATAAATACTTATATCTTATAGCTGTGCTCTTTTTTTTGCTAGATTTTGCTTCTTCGTGTTGTATTGCAGTGTGCAATATCGCTAACTATTTCAGTTGCATTGTGCAACACTGTCCAGACAGAGGAATTCCTCTTCTCATTGTACTACGTATTACGATTATTTTGTACGAGTTCGAAAATTCTCTTACAAAACTTTTTGTTCACAAGAATACTTCATCCTCATTATTTTCTCCTTTTCCCACAGCTTTATCATGCATTAGCGCTCATTGACAATTTACCTTGGCCAATAAAAAGATAGTTATGGCCTTCTACTGGATTACAGCAGTATCATAACCACATCAGCTATCTAGCAGAACGATTTGTAATGGCATAAATGAATAGAAGGGATGGACATATTAAAATTTTGCGCCTTTTTTCCAAGAGGATTATCAGAAAAAATTTTGCGAAATCTTGTAGCCCATGGTCGATTTAGTGGCACGCCATACTTATCTCAAATAGATCCTTCCGATTTCTGTGGAAAAAAATTTAGGAAAAAAGTCAAAAAGATCCGTGCGGGATTCGTACCGGCGACGAAAAAATTCACTTTCTTTGCACTAAACCACTCTCTTGTTATATCAAGTACAGATGAAGAAAAACAGAATGGGAAAAAATTGTTCATGTTTTTCGAACGTAACTTTTTCTCTAGAAGGTTGCCGAAGAGGATTTAGGCTTTTTTATACAGCACTGTCATGACAGTATTTTATCTCGTTTTCTTGAGAAAAAGAAACTTTTGAATATTATTAGAATTATTATATTATTAGAACCAGAATAAACAGGTCAATAGTGCAGATATCATGTGCATCTGAAGTGCATTGAATCAGCAAAGACGTTGTTTATTCATCTCACACACAGAGAAAGAGATCGATAAGATTTACAGTGAAATTATTAATTATCTAATTAATTAGTTTAGATGTAAACAATTCCTAATCATCGTATACAAGCCTAATAAAACAAAAGAACGGGTTATTGTTATTAAGGTGGCAAGCTGAGGTGTAAATATGAAACGGCGACAAATTACTTCGTAACCTGATATGCTCTCTCCGAGCTCTAATAACATTAATTTAATTTTTAAGTAAGAAAGTAAGGACCATTTCTCAACGACATTCGCGTATAAAAAGAGATAGTTCAAATACAAGAACATAAAAATTCAACAAACAATTTATCCTAATGTCGATGAATCCTTATGTCTTTATCTTTATGTATGTTTATGAAAAAGAAAAACTTTACGAGAAGATCTCTCAAAAATAAGGTGTTTCTTAAGGTAATTGACATGTCATGATGTTTTACTCGGTTTTCTCTTCAGGAACATAATGCAATCAGGCTGGATCATTCACCTCAGATACGCTTCGGGACTGAGCTTAAAATAAGTATACAGCAATTTTATTTGTAAACACTCTCTCTACTTGACATAGAAACTATGTTAAAGGTTTTTTGAACTTTTAGAAAATTTCTGATTGTTATTTCTAAGATAGCTTCAATATCAGACTTCTCTAAGTTCTCCCATATTCTTCTCAATTATGGTTCGACATATAACTAGTATTTGATCTCAAAATAAAAGTGAGAGCGATTGATGTTTTACAGTTCGCGCATGAATATTACCCATAAGGTAGCGTTTGCCGCATGTGAAGAAAACATTCACACTTGAACTTTCAGAGAATGTATACCAAAGATATTATCGCTAGAATCAGTTCATTATTAGAGCCAATCTAATATTCTGTGAATGAGGCAGAATGGCTTAGCCCCAATCCTCTGTGCGTCAAACAGAACTGAACTGATCGTCGCTACACCCTGAGAGTCACTAACAACAAAGCGATCTTACACCGAGGATACTCATAACTGTTATAAAAAACATCAATCTTTGATGCATTTCTCACTTTTGTGCATTTTTATTTTGAGATCTTTGCACAGTAACCAAAAAACACAGAAGTCCTTAGATGTGGGAGGCATTTTTTGAGAAAGAATATTCTTTCAACTGTGCCACAGTACAATAGAAAGGATCTTTATTCTTTCATTCACTAAAACTGCTGTAGTCTAATATCTCAAAAGGATGCTGTCAGCGCTTATTTATCTTTGATCAGACCAGTAGTGCTTTGCCTCACTGAAACGTGGTTAGATAACACTATCACTGATAATGATATAAGTTTTTTTGAATATCATG